TGTATGCAGTATTTCGACCAGTGTACAGTGTAATATATCGTCCAGCGTGCTGTTCGACCAGTGTACAGTGTAATATATCGTCAAGTGTGCAGTGTAATATATCGTCCATGTACAGTGTAATATATCGTCCCGTGTACAGTGTATTTCTGTACAGTGTAATATATCGCCCAGTGTACAGTGTATTTCGACCAGTGTACAGTGTAATATATCGTCCAGTGTACAGTGTAATATATCGTCCAGTGTACAGTGTATTTCGTCCAGTGTACAGTGTAATATATCGTCCAGTGTACATTGTATATCGTCCAGTGTACAGTGTAATATATCGTCCCGTGTATGCAGTGTATTTCGTCCAGTGTACAGTGTAATATATCGTCCATTGTACATGTGTAATATATCGCCTAGTGTACAGTATATTTCGTCCAGTGTACAGTGTAATATATCGCACACTGTACAGTGTAGTCGTCCAACAGTGTAATATATCGTCCAGTGTACATTGTATATCGCCCAGTGTACAGTGTAATATATCGTCCAGTGTACAGTGTAATATATCGTCCAGTGTACAGTGTAATATATCGTCCAGTGTACAGTGTAATATATCGTCCAGTGTACAGTGTAATATATCGTCCAGTGTAGGTGTAATATCGCCCAGTGTACAGTGTAATATCGCCCAGTGTACAGTGTAATATATCGTCGAGTGTACAGTGTAATATATCGTCCAGTGTACAGTGTAATATATCGCCCAGTGTACAGTGTAATATATCGTCAGTGTACAGTGTAAATATCGTCAGTGTACAGTGTAATATATCGCCACTTACTGTACAGTGTAATATATCGTCCAGTGTACAGTGTAATATATCGCAGTGTACAGTGTAATATATCGTCCAGTGTACAGTGTAATATATCGCCAGTGTACAGTGTAATATATCGCCCAGTGTACAGTGTAATATATCGTCAGTGTACAGTGTAATATATCGTCCAGTGTACGTTATATATCCCATGCAGTGTAATATATCGTCCAGTGTACAGTGTAATATATCGCCCAGTGTACAGTGTAATATATCGCCCAGTGTACAGTGTAATATATCGCCCAGTGTACAGTGTAATATATCGCCCAGTGTCTTATATAGTGTACGGAATATATCCTGTACAGTGTAATATATCGTCCAGTGTACAGTGTAATATCGCCCAGTGTACCGTGTATCGATGTAATATCGCCAGTGTACAGTGTAATATATCGTCAGTGTACAGTGTAATATATCGCCCAGTGTACAGTATATATATCGTCAGTGTGAAGTGTAATATATCGCCCAGTGTACTGTGTAAATATCGTCCAGTGTACAGTGTAATATATCGTCAGTGTACAGTGTAATATATCGCCCAGTGTACTGTGTAATATATCGCCCAGTGTATAGTGTAATATATCGTCAGTGAATTAGTAATATATATCGTCCAGTGTACAGTGTAATATATCGCCCAGTGTACTGTGTAATATCGTCCAGTGTACAGTGTAATATATCGTCCAGTGTACAGTGTAATATATCGTCCAGTGTACTGGTAATATATCGTCCAGTGTACAGTGTAATATATCTCTGTCAGTGTATAATCGTCCAGTGTGCAGTGTAATATATCGCCAGTGTACTGTGTAATATATCGCCCAGTGTACAAGTGTAATATATCGTCCAGTGTACAGTGTAATATATCGTCCAGTGTACAGTGTAATATATCGCCAGTGTACTGTGTAATATATCGTCAAGTACTGTATATAACTTGTAATATATCGTCCAGTGTACAGTGTAATATATCGTCCAGTGTACAGTGTAATATATCGTCCAGTGTACGGTGTAATATATCGCCCGTTGTAATATATCGTCCAGTGTACTGTAATATATCGTCCAGTGTACAGTGTAATATATCGTCAGTGTACAGTGTAATATATCGTCCAGTGTACAGTGTAATATATCGCCCAGTGTGCAGTGTAATATATGTACTGTAATATATCGTCCAGTGTACGTGTATATATCGTCCAGTTATTAATATTCTCAGTGTAACGTATATCTCCCAGTGTACAGTGTAATATATCGCCCAGTGTTGGAATAATGCGTCAGTGTACAGTGTAATATATCGTCCAGTGTACAGTGTAATATATCGCCCAGTGTACATAATATATCGTCCCGGTGTACAGTGTAATATATCGCCCAGTGTACAGTGTAATATATCGTCCTGTACGTGTAATATCTCATGCAGTGTAATATATCGTCCAGTGTCAGTGTAATATATCGTCCAGTGCTGTATATATCGTCCAGTGTACAGTGTAATATATCGTCAGTGTACAGTGTATCGTCCAGGTACAGTGTAATATATCGTGTACAGTGTAATATCGTCCAGTGTACAGTGTAATATATCGCCCAGTGTACAGTGTAATATATCGCCCAGTGTAGTGTAATATATCGTCCAGTGTACGTAATATATCGTCCAGTGTACAGTGTATTATATCGTCCAGTGTACAGTGTAATATATCGTCGAGTGTACAGTAATATATCGTCCAGTGTACAGTGTAATATATCGTCGAGTGCAGGTGAATATATCGCCCAGTGTACTGTAATATATCGTCGAGTGTACAGTGTAATATATCGTCCAGTGTACAGTGTAATATATCGTCCAGTGTACGTAATATATCGTCGAGTGTACAGTGTAATATATCGCCCAGTGTACAGTGTAATATATCGCCCAGTGTACAGTGTAATATATCGTCCAGTGTACTGTGTAATATATCGCCCAGTGTACAGTGTAATATATCGCCCAGTGTACTGTGTAATATATCGTCCAGTGTACAGTGTAATATATCGTCCAGTGTACCGTGTAATATATCGTCCAGTGTACCGTGTAATATATCGTCCAGTAGGTTTGTTCTATAAACTCTTCAATAACAGATGTTCTTCTAGCTTTACAATAACACAGCCACTCAGAACACCTGTTGGAAGGATTAATGATGCAGAATCACTTGTAGGGGACAATGTTCACCTGGTGACAACGACCACACAACACCAGTCACCTCACCTAGCTGGCCATGTTTACCCGTCTGGCCATGTTCACCTAGCTGGCCATGTTCACCCGTGTGTCCACCACCAACCAACTCACCTGTGTGGCCATGTTCACCTCTTTAGCCATGTTCACCTGTCTGGCCGTGTCATTCACTACAAGATGAACGTAACCAATAAAATTAATTAGTAGTTATCATTATTGTTATTGAATCACATGAGGAATATACACCCTATTGTATTTCTCTTTACGATGACCCACGCTAAAGGTGTGTGTGTGTGTGTGTGTGTCTGTGTGTGTGTGTGTGTGTGTGTGTGTGTGTGTGTGTCCGGTAATGGTGGTTTCGGGTAGACATCCTCTATAATTTTTAATACATCCGGTAATATAACTTCCAGGCGACAGTAAACCTATAATCCTTAATGTACCCGAAGGTGTAATGTTAAGCACACACTATGTATAATTTCCCTGAACCCAACAATGCAATTTTCTCAACCTGTCTATAATTTTTTATGTACCCAACGGAGCAATAAACACAAGAGCTATAATTCTTCACAGTGAGACATCTTGACATCCTCTTGGTTAGAGGTCACTTCTCGTGAGACATAAAGAGACCCGTTACTCTTACTACTCCCACCATTCCTCTTCCTCTATCTCTTCTTCCTCCTCCTCCTCCTCCTCCTCCTCCTCCTCCTCCTCACCTCCTCCTCCTCCTCCTCCTCCTCCTCCTCTTTCTCTTCCTCTTCCACCCCCCCTCTTCCTCTATCTCCTCCTCTCCTCTTCCTCCAATCTCCTCCTCCTCCTCCTCCTCCTCCTCCTCCTCCTCCTCCTCCTCCTCCTCCTCCTCCTCCTCCTCCTCCTCTTCCTCTATCTCCTCCTCCTCCTCTTCCTCTATCTCCTCCTCCTCCTCTTCCTCTATCTCCTCCTCCTCCTCCTCCTTCTCTTCCTCCATCTTCCACGTCTTGCCACTGTCACAACTCTTCCTGTATTTCCACACATATGCAGATTCAAGTGACCCTCCACCCAGCCTCCCTCTGAGCTTCTTGAGAGAATTGTGAGTGGAGGAAGTATACAGGTCGTCCTCCACTGTCCAGGTCGTCCTCCAGTGTCCAGGTCGTCCTCCACCGTCCAGGTCGTCCTCCACTGTCCAGGTCGTCCTCCAGTGTCCAGGTCCTCCAGCGTCCAGGTCGTCCTCCAGTGTCCAGGTCGTCCTCCAGTGTCCAGGTCCTCCAGCGTCCAGGTCGTCCTCCAGTGTCCAGGTCGTCCTCCAGTGTCCAGGTCCTCCAGCGTCCAGTTGATGGAGGTATAGAGGTCAAGGTTCGAGGACAAGAGATTAAAGTTCAACGACAAGAGGTTAAGGTCAAGGTCAAGCTTAAGGTCGAGAGGTCAAGATCAAGAGAAGGTCATGGTTAAGTTTAAGGTCAAGAGGTGAAGGTCAAGCTTAAGATCAAGAGGTCAAGGTCAAGCTTAAGGTCAAGAGAAGGTCAAGGTCAAGCTTAAGGTCAAGAGAAGGTCAAGGTCAAGAGAAGGTCAAGGTCAAGAGAAGGTCAAGGTCAAGAGAAGGCCAAGGTCACCTCTAGTGTAATGTTACGATCGATTGTCTCGTTGTATAAGGTGATGTTATATAAATTATCCCCCGCCCTCAGTACCGTCACACTAACCATAGCTCTGTCTTCTGTCTGTCTGTCTGTACGGGTGAGTAGAGCTGTTTATCTCTTATACCCCGTCTAGTGTTGGCTAGTTATCTCCTATTTATTATCGTCTGTTTACAATTATTTTATTCCATGGATGAACTAGCCACTGTGTACTTCAATGTCTATCCACATTTCTATATCCTTATGTATCCAATTCTATCCCAATCTATCCGCATCTGTTCCCTATTATCCACCAATATCTTCCCATGTATATACTCCTACTGCCTACCTATCATGGTCAGGCACTACTAACAGGTCCTCCCCCGGCAGGTGAGGATGATCGGGGCGATGCCTGCCGTGGCGGTGCGGCAGCAGAGAAAGCACGTGAAGCATGAGGAAATTAAAAACCGCCCCAGCACCTTAACTATAGAACCCAACGCCAGCTACCCAGGTAACGCCGTGCCCTTAGTAACCTTGTCGAGTTATCTGTGTCACTAGTTCAGGGCATCACTAGTTCATGGCATCACTAGTTCAGGGCATCACTAACTTACTATACAACTAGCTCAGGATACCATTAATTCAGTATACTACTAGTTCAGGGCATCACTAACTTACTATACAACTAGCTCAGGATACCATTAATTCAGTATACCATTACCTAGGCACTCTACTAGCTCACTATACCACTAACTTGCTATACCATTAGCTTACTACATCACTAGCCCAAGACATCACTAGCTCACTATACCACTAGCTCAGGACATCACTAGCTCACTACACCACTTGCTCAGGACACCACTATACCACTAACTCTACCAACCACCATTACCACCATCACCACCATTACCACCATCACCACCATTACCACCATCACCACCACATTGCCTTGTAGTGATCTGATCTCATAACTCCAACAAGAATATTTTGATGGTATATAAAAACTATCTTGTTTATATCAGTAAAACATTATATAACTTTCAACACTATATATCAACACACCTGGTCGGGAGCTGACGGTAATTAGATACAGGTAGAGTCTAGGTGTGATTCTGACGCCATATTGGATGTTATATTAGTGTTGTGGGAGGAAACTATGGGGGGAAACTATGGTAGTGTGGGGAAACTATGGTGGTGTGGGGAAACTATGGGGGTGTGGGGAATGGGTGGTGGTATGTGGAGGAAAAACTATGGTGGTGTGGGGGAACTATGGGGGGGTGGGGGAAATTATGGTGGGGAAACGAGTGGTGGTGTGGGGAACCATGGTGGTGTGGGGGAACCATGGGGGTGTGGGGGAACCCATGGTGGTGTGGGGAAATTATAGGTAAACCCAGGGTGTGTGGGGGGAAGAATTATGGTGGTGGGAAACTATGGTGGTGTGTGGAAAATTATGTGGTGTGGGGAAATTATGGTGGTGGGAAAACCAGGTGGTGGTGGGGGAAATTATGGTGTGTGGGAAAATTATGTGTGGGGAACCAGGAACCAGTGGTGGTGTGGGAATTATGCAGGTAAAAACTATGGGGTATGGGGAAGACTACAGTGGTGTGGGGAAACTATATGGTGTGGGGAAATTATGGTGGTGTGGGGAAATTATGCAGGTGTGGGGAAACCATATGGTGTGGGGAATTATGGTGTGTGGGAAATTATGGTGTGGGGAAACTATGGGCAGGTGGGGGAAACTATAAAATTGGTGGTGGTGTGGGGAAAACTATAAAGATGGGGGAAGACCATGGTGGTGTGTGTGGAAATTATGGTGGGTATGGGGGGAAACTATGGTGGTGTGTGGGGGAAACCAGGTGTGGGAAACTATGGTGGGGAAACTATGGGGGTGTGGGGGAAATTATGGTGTGGGAAACGAGTGTGGGGTAGACTATGGTGGTGTGTGGGGGTAAAATTATGGCAGGCTGGGGGGAACTATAGGTGTGGGGAACCTATGGTGGTGGGGGAACCATGGTGGTGTGGGGGGAAACTATAGTAAACCATGGTGGTGGGAAAATTATGGTGGTGGGAAACGGTGGGGAAATTATGGTGGTGTGTGAGAAAACTATGTTGGTGTGGGAAACTATTGTGGTGTGGGGAAATTATGGTGGTGTGGGGAAACTATGGGAGGAGGGAGGATGATAGTTAAATATTAATGGTAAAGTATAGGGTTAGGTTAGGTTAGATTGGGTTAAATTTGGTTAGGTTAGTTTGGTGGTAAATTAGGTGACGTAAGCTAGGGTGCCTAATCTTCAGGTGATCCATCTAGTTTATCTGTCACGTGTTATCGAAGGTAGGGAGGGCAGACAGTGATAAGTTACACACACACACACACACATATATGTTACACACACACATATGTACACACACACACACACACACACACACATACATATACACACACACACACAGGTGATTCTGGTAGCCAGGTGAAGGTAATTATTTTGGGTTATTCTCGTCCATGACTTCCCGTGAGTATGTACGTATGTATGTATGTATGTTTGTATGTATGTATGTTTGTATGTATGTAAGCGTGTATGTATGTATGTATGTATGTATGTAAGCGTGTATGTATGTATGTAAGCGTGTATGTATGTATGTATGTATGTATGTACGTAGATATGTATGTATGTATGTATGTATGTATGTATGTAAGTAGGTATGTATGTATGTATGTATGTAAGTAGGTATGTATGTATGTGTATGCATGTATATCTGTATTTGTGTATTTATGTATGTATAGAGTATGTCTATGTATGTGTTTATATATGTAATGTATGTATGTGTGTGTGTATATCTGTATTTATGTATATATATGCATGTATGTATGTATAGAGTATGTATGTATGTATGT